GTCAGTACGTCGGGTTGCAAACGAAGCCATATACGAGCAGGCTAATTCTAATCAATCCTAATCCCCATTCCATTGCCATTGGTCCTAGGTTTGATTACAACTAGGGATTTTTGTCTGCTCTTTTATATATTAAAGGTTTAATATTTGCTGATATGATATGATATGATTGATTTAAAGTTTAACAACGAATGGGCGATTTACTAAACACTTATTATGTAATTCGTTTACCTGACAAAGATTGAAAATCCTAACGAGGACCGGGAGTCGGTGACGACTCAGCACTTACTTGAAAAAAGTATTGCATGCGTTGCTCTCTGTAAGTTAAATGAAAGTATCAACTCTTACCGGATAAACGACTCCTAAGTTCTTGAAACACTTAAAATTTGTGATCATGGTTATTGGAGATTGCTCACATAGTTGTTTGCTTTCTAGGCAAAAATCAACTTTTAGCATAAACACCCCAGGCCTCATTGCAAGGCATGCATACTAGCAGCTGTTACTTTTTAGACATCTCTCATGGAAGGTTCTTAGTAACTTATAAAAACTGCAATTCAAGAAACTTCTACAAGTTAAGAACCTTTTTGTATGATATGACATTTTATTAGTTCTTTTATATAATTTTTTATTTTTATATCTATAATATTGGTGTTGAAATCATAACCTACGGTTCTTATTAGTTGCCATCATTTCTTATTAGTTGCATCATTGTGGGGTTTCATGATAGTTCTTACTAAAAAGTAAAAAGCAGCAAAGCAGAAAGGAACCAAAAACAGCACCCGGCAAGTCCTGACTCCTGATCCATTAATCCTCCTTTTTGTGTATATCCATCTTCTTGTCTATTAAACAACCATTACTATTCAGTTTGATTCACAGATTCAGGTCCAAGAACAGACCTGCATGTTATAAAGGGTTTTTCTAACCCCACCCCCTCCTATGGGTGCATGTGAGGGGGGCGAGATTGTGTAGGGGGTGAGTATGTGAGGGAAAGTTGTGAGGGTGAGAGTGAGGGTTGGTGTGAGGAGGAGGGGGTGAAAAGTGATGTAGGGGGTGGGGATATCAACCCCCGTTATAAATTCTGAGAAAAAACCAATTTCATTTGCGAGTAGACCGGAGATGTCCTTCACAAATACACACAAGTAGTCATCTCCTTCTACTACTAACACAAAGTACAAAATATTCAAGCACTTAATCCAACGATATATATAGGGTCAGGTTCGGGAGAAAACCGTAAAAAAAAATATATTGAAAAACTGAAGAACAATTTGGTAACTGTTCATCTGGACGGTATGCACATATGCATGTTAATAAAAACCAGGAAACAGCTTCAATTACTTGTATGCACGTGTCCACATCATCGAGATTGGTTACCAGGGTGTTTCTCGATTTTTCATTTTTGAGGGGGTTTTCCCTTGAAAACCTCTCTCTCTCCCTATATATATATATATATGACTACATGACAGCATCTAGCAACAAGTAGAGATCAATTGCTGTCAAAAGATAAAAAAGTACAATAGTTAGGATAATGTCTCTATTTTATGCACATTTTGTTGATATGGTTGACACAAACACATACTCACATACATGGAAAATTAATTGTGCTCCATACAGTTATTTTACATGGCTGGTTATTCATCGATTTTAGGGAAATCGGTGGGGGTCAAACAACACAGTTTCACTGCTAGAAATGTATAAACAGCAATAGATTAACTTATTAGACACAGCAAGATAGGAGGGTGAATATGTCTACTATGACTAATGTCACTTTGACATTGCTTGCAAAACGAAGCTGCTATATATTTGGTGGAACACTTGCCATCACAGGAAAACGATAGGGGGATTGCTTTCCAAAGACATCCATCACCAGATAATCTGAGCGTCCATCACCGGACGTTGTGGCTGTGAGGGATCACCAGAGTCGTCGTCGATCCCATCCGACCTTGCTGCCATAATCTGTAGGCACCCAAAACAGAAATGCATAGGAAACTGTTGTCTATAAAGTTCATTACAAAAGTCGACATGTAATCCTTGCATTCGGTTTTACCTCCTCCATCATAAAATTTCTTTCTTTCTTCAGTTGCATTTCCTGTTCAAGCATACACGCACCATTAGTCACAGTTTAGATAACAGCTCAAAGAATTGGAAGAAACTAGCACTTATTAGTGGGTTTTCAGCATTCAGTAAGAGCCTACTTGTTAGCAGCTTAATGACCTTAATGGGACTATCAGCTTATTCAGTCAGCTATACATGGTTGTTTGGTAGTGACTTAATGATATAGACAGTGGCTTATTTAGTAAGCTTATAGAGGGAGCTTTATGCAAAAAGTCAGGTTTGTCCCTCCCAATAAAAAAAACACTCCCAAACAAAAAAAAAATTCCAATCTATAAAGACAAATTAATCGACATATACAATTGTCCACATAGAACTTAATGGAAAACCAACCAAACAGCCCCTAAGAAGGCTTAAAAAATTTGAGAGTTCACTCCTAAACACGTCTGGAAGTACTTTTTAAACCAAAGCTTTCTAGATGAATGGCAGGTAGTAATACTGAACATTTCATGTGGATGAGTACTAAGATGGCATTATGAGTCGTGAATAATGAAAACCCTGCAAGCAGTAAATGACAACAGCGCTGAAGATTTTAGCAGATCATTGCATTCAAGGGCTAGTGGAACCTATTTTACAGGTGCTAGTGTGTGATCTCTCGTTCAACATCTGATGACCAAACAGGAATCTGCCTCAAAAAGATGATGGAACAAAAGTATGAATGTGATGTTTTTTTAAAGATACTAGCTTAAAGCCATATTTCAGTAATATAGGCTACTACAGCTACGTTCCATGGTTATGTTTGAAAAAGTACCTGATAAGCACTGTAAGCTACTTGCTGACTTGTAAGCTTGTTAGATGGATAACCTAGCTATTGAACTAGTCATTTTTGGTAAAATAAAGATGATAAGCTAAGATGAAAGTTGTAAAATGTCTTGCAAAATATAAGGGGCATAATTGGAAAAAAAACCCTGGAGTTTCTTGAAATAGCTTTTCAAAAAGCTACCTTAATGGCTAATCAAACGAGGCTTTTTCAATAGGTTCAAAAAATAAGTTAGCTTATCGTTGTTGTTGACTCGTTGCCGAACATGCAAAAGTCCTCACCTGTTCCTAGAGGGTAAAATGACCCTAGTAGCAATGTACATGCAGACTACCCCTGGGGAGGCAATCAAATCGATATATCCTGTAATGAAGGCAGATGGCTAGTGCAATGCAGGGTGTGGGAAGTTGAAACCATGAAGAATGCACCCCTTATAGGAGAGCATAAAATATTGATACGATTAGTGTTAGAACATAAGGTAGATTTATGGTTACAGTTTTACGCAGAATAGGAAGTGATGCTCGTCAATCCATGCCAAAAAGAATATGTGACCAAGCCTTATCAAAAGCACTAAGCAATAAATGTCAACGGGAAATCCCCTTGGCACTGAGAATATGTGGAACTCCATCAGATTACCCTCCAAAAGAGCTCTTGAAGAGAGAAGGAAGGTTTTCTACATATATGGAGGAGAAATAGTCCAAAACTAGCTGATGTTGGATTTCAACACGCCAACCGAGGCTAGACAGGCAAACATTATCCCACGGTGTCGACTTCCAAACATAGTAGCTTGGTTTTGAAAAGCGTGATGCGGTCCGAGGCGGTAAGGGTCCCGGAAGCCGATGCATGATGCGTGATGCTGATGCGCTCGCATCACGCACGCGATGCGCCCGGTATTCAAAAAATATTTATAAATTAATTCTACATATCAATTTCTACCTTAAAAATACTTACCTATCAAAATAATTCATTTATAACATAAAGAAGTTCAAAAAGTGGCATGAGAATCTTAAAAAAGTTTGTGAATCGGAATAACAGAACGCACAAACTACTACCATGAAGAACACAAGTAAATGTCTAATAGTCCCCAATCCCTAAACTAAATGACCAAGTGACCAACTAATACTCCCCAAGATCAGCATCATCAAACCCCAACATGAGTTCATCTCCCTCATTTGGATGTACGACAACAACTCATGTTCTATTTCTTTTTTAATCTTATTGATATGCGAGTGCGACTTCTGCTTCTTCTATTAGTGGCTGTCGGCTGCTTCTATAAGGTCACCATTCAGTCTCACGTTCTATTTTAATCAACTAAAAAGCCCAACTAAAAACTGAAAAAGGGAGCCCAAACATGAAACATACACGATGCGTTGATGCATAGGTGATGCACGCATTGTGTGATGCGTAGGTGATGCGAGCGCATCATGGAATGGCAACGCATCAGCCCATCTGATGCGTTTCCTCTAGCGCATCAGAGCGCATTATGCATCAGAGCACATTATGCGCACATTTTTAAACCAAGCATAGTAGACTTCGGTTATGATACCATGTGAGAATATGTGGAACTCTTCAAAATAACACTCGAGAAGAGGAGGGAAATTTCAACATATATTGAGGAGAAATTGTCCAAAACTAGCAGTGAACTCAACAACTTAGACTATCCACCCAAAGCTTTCAAACCTCTTTCTATGAGTCTTGCAAAGTGAGGCAGCACTCCACCTAAGGAAAGTCTTTTTAAGTGAAGTGACACTCCACCTAAGAAAACCTTTCCACTCTTCTTTCTAGAATGGAAAGATTGTTTCCAATGCCAACTAAAGCATTTTGGACACTCAAATTAATAAGAATCATATTTTATTAATTTAGTTTATATATTGTTTTATAAATTATTTTATTCTTCAATATCTTTTAATTAATGTATTTAATTTGTATTTTATTTTATAAACTCTTTTGACCTTTTTATTTTTAATTAATTGTTTTCTACATTATTAAACAGTGTGTTTTTTATATTTGAATACATTTTATTTATTAATAATTAAAAAAAATGTATGCATACAAAATAGTTCATTAAAATGTAACGTTTAAATTATGGTCAAATAAAAACATGTATTATAAGTTGTAAAGTAGTTGTTGGTGTGACAGAGGAGACAGCTTTTGAAAGATGACTGGTATTTTATTGGTGCGACGGATAATTACAGAAGCTGACATGGCGCTTTTTAAAGATGGCTGGTATTGCATAGGTATGGATAGTCTTATAACTATTATAAATATTTGCAATATGCCATAACCGTGTTTCTGCTAAACTAATTACAATGTACATGACCCATCAAAAAGGGTGCTTAATGGCCTTAAAAATGTACATGGCCTACAGAAATGGTGAACTCACCTCCTCTTGCAGAGCCTTCACAACTTCCATCATTTGTTGCGTCTGCAGAAAACCATATACCAGTCATCAAACACACATACAACATTTTCTAAGTATAAAAATTACAACATTGCAGCCTTGGCTGTTATCATCAACCTCGGAGATTCTAAGTTATATATGTCACCTTCTGAGACACAAACATACACACATAGATTTCCTTACTCTAAAAATTTACATCATCTCAAATTCAGCTGTTTTCATCATCTGATATCCAATATTATACGTCTGATCTTTGAGATGCAACATACAGACACGTGTAACATTTCCTAACTATAAAGATTACAAGATTGCAGTCTAGGCTTTTTCCATCGATGTCTGAGATGCAACATATACACATACATAATAACATTTACTAGATTGCAATCTTGGCTATTTCCATCATACTCTTAAATGTCAACCTCTTGAATGCAACTTATTTGTTAACGTCTGAGATGGGACTTTATATGATGCAATAGCTGGTGTATCTTAACCTCAAAGATATATCACTGTTTAAAATCTCTTCTTTATCTCTTCAAGGATCTCCTCTATGTTCTCGTCATCAATGTCATCATCTTACTATAAGAATTAAGTTTTTCAACTAGTGAGCTAACCTTCCTGATTCTGACTTGTTGGAGAAGGCTATCCAATTGCTGCTCCAGCTGATTGAGACCGGTTGTATCTAGCAGTTGAATATTGTTCTCTTCGAGGTGCCTGCACAGCAATCAAAACCATTAAATGATACTACTTCCGTCTAAAGAGTGGCATGTGGGATCTGTGGTGTGCATACTGTAATTACCATTTGAGTATCTGTGTCAGCTCATCAGCGCTACAGACATTTTCAGAATCAAGCTTCTGCTGCATGTTCCCACAGACATGTTCTATGCTTGTCATCGTCATATATAATTGGGTAAAGTATAAATATTTAACCAGAAAATATATATATAGACACGATGAAAATATATGAAAGTGTGTTCTACATTAAACAAGTTAACGACATTATGCATAACCGCTGTCCTGCTGAATGTGGTGACTTGTTACCTCTAGATGCACACATAAGCACCTTTAGTATATGTTCGAAGTTTCGAGGACAGCATTATGCTTACTAGTTTTGCTTCGCATAGAAAGATCTCAGTTAGTTGCCCTGTTTGAAAAATCCACAATTTCCTTATTACCGGTAATGCTCATGACTTTGTCAAGTCTGAAGAATAATTGTGGCAAACAATGTTTGCCTCATTAATTGCAATGTTCTGAGCATTACTCTGCAAGCTAGGGTTGAGGATCCAGGATTTGTCGTAAAATTAATTTGACATAGATGTTGGTTGCTATAGCTTCAAATTCATAGTGTGCATTCACTTGATAGATTGATCCAGGGACATGTATGCAGTGCAGATATTGATAACTGCTGGACTCGTATACCTTGTGCACGCTTATGCGGGTAAGTTCCTCTGTCTTCTTATAGCTTTGGTAGCGGGTGAGAAGCTTAATCATGCTGTTTCAAAATTTAACAAAATCAAGTGTCAGTAGCTCGACCTTAACCTGACTGATAGGTAGAATACACGTTATTATCGAGTTCCCATGTAAAAGGTATCATGGCATCAACAGGAAGAAGGAACACAGCAAGTACAAGTGCATGCTACATGTCTGGAAAACAAATGTCAGAGTTTAGAAGGATGTGCAAGGATGACTTATGCTGATGGAGCCATTTTATCTATGTGCTGAGGCCAACAGGAAATTGTGGTCCTTATAACCCAAGATCTATTTGTTACCAAAACATGAAATTGCCTGGGCTTCTTGACCATAATCATTTTCTTCCATACCGTCATAGTGGGTTATTCATAAACTTCAGGGTCCACGAAAGATGGTCTTAGTTGTTTCTCCTCACCCAGATGCAATATCCATCCTCTGTCCCCCAACGTATAACCAAACCACTCATCTCCCTTGTTGGTTCCCTTCATAGTATGACATCCAACTGCTGTCTGGTGATGGATGTGCTTCCAGATGAAAAAGGTGATCTGGAAACAAGTCCATCTGCAAGACTATAATCGTGCTCATCTTCTTGTTGCGTAAAGGCCCAGTGAGTCTTTTCTCCACAGGAGTGGTACTATAGTGTCTCTTTGGCAGTAATCGCTTGATGGTTTTTACTGCAGCTTACTATGGTTATTACTTATTACAAGGATACGAAGAGTGTAAAAAGAAATCATTGTTGCCAGAATCACCCCTCACACCTACAAACTCAGACCTTATTGCCTTCGCAAATCAATTGTTCAAAGAAAGAAATCAACAATGAAATATAAAACAATAGTATTGCATGTTCTATGAACTAGATAATAAGTATGAATGAATGTTGTTTCGTCCTACATGCCACCCATGTTTTCATTGCATTGAATGAATGACGTTATATTCTATATATCAAGCTTTTTGAACAATAATCTTTCATGACTATAGTTTCTAAGAATATCTACTCTTCCTTCAAGAGACATGCATCTACCATTGAAGATGCCCCAAACAAGTATGGGACGGGACTTAATAGTGGCATACCCTGCCAGCAGAAATGGTTTATCATTTGTACTCTTCCTTAAGATATACATATGTATTGTTAGCAGCACACAAACCCTGTGTTGTTGTAGCTAAACCAAACAAAACAAGCCCGGTACATCCCACCTGAAGGTGGGGTTTGGGAAGGTGAGATGTACGTAGACCTTACTTCCACCCAAAAAAGTTAGGTGGCGGTTCCATTAAGACCTCCACCTTGTGCATAATGGGCAAAAAAAGATAAAGATGGGTCAAAACAAACATAAGAACATTCGAAAAAGACTTGAAAACAAGGAAGTGTTAAATTTGAAGAAGGGGTTAGAAGTAAGGAACCAAAATCCTAACTTAGGTCGGAAGGACTACATATACTTTACCTGTCTAGACCCCTTCCTCCCGTCTATTGATCTATACAGATCTTGCCTCTAGTTTGCTACCGATCATCTTATATTCATAAGGATAAAGCTTTTCCTATGAAGGAGACTTATGCATAGAACTCCTATCCTATGGGATATGAACATCATGGACCTATCTTTAACTATACGTGCCAATATCCTTATAATGTGCTAATGTAAAAAGTAGTCTCTTAAGAGCGCAAAAGAATAGGTCGTGGACTAATCACACTGCCACAAATGTTGTTATGTCATTGGTGTCAAAATGACACACATATGATTCCCTAATAGGTGTATGTGTGCATATACTAAGCTTTGGGAATTATACATCATGTTGGATATAGATTCGAGGGATGTGTCACGACACATGCCATCACACCAAGATTGTTACCAAAATCTATTCAACTGAACATCCTAAGAAACGTGGAGATCAAAGGGACATTTATCAAGACATATATGACATGCATATGGTTACCCCACAGGTGGTTATAACGTCTATACTACTAAAATCTCTCATAGCACATGCCACCACACTAAGAGAACCAAACCAAACGCACCCAATATATGCCACTCGAAAGCAAGGTTGGAGGGGGGATGTATATACATGTGTCGTCTACCCCAAATGATAGAGTTATTGTTTCCATAAAGACTTCAGCGTATGCAAAAGGGTGAGCAAAAAGGACATAAGAGAAAAAAAAAGAGGGACCTTGAAGTAAATAGTTAGCAACAAACAAAATAGGCAAAATAGAACATATAAAAACTAAGGAAACACATGCATTCCTTCGTCTATCGCATACCTTTAGCCCTATATGCTAGCTCCCTACCCTCCTACTCCGTCTTGTCATCAATCTAACTACTACTCTAGTCTTGGGTCTCCAAAAACTCTCATCACAATAAGACATATTACCAAAAACAGGACAAAGGGTCATCCGTCAATGTAACATATGAACCCATGAAACCCCAAGAAACGTAGAGATCAAAGGGATATTTGTTAAGACAAGCATGCTAGCCTTTGATCACGAAACCTTATGGCAAGAAGACAACAAAAGTCAAAGACCTTCCAGCCTAGTGGTAAAGGCTTAGGCATGGCATAGTCATGAACCCGAGTTCGAGCCCTGGGAGGGGAGTGTTGGCGACATTTAGTGGGGCCATGTTTAGCCTCCAAATTTGCCGGGGATTAGTCGGGCTTTGGCCCGGACACCCTTTAAAAAAAAAAAAAAAAAGACAACAAAAGTACATCCGTCAAGAGCAGAAAAGAACATTTGTCAAAAGTGCAAAAGAATATGTTTTGACTTGATCACACCGCCACAAATAATGTCATGCCATCAGTGAATGACATTAATATGTTACCCTGATACAGCTATATATGCATGTATACTAAAGTGTGTCAATGCATGCCATCAAACTTAGGTGTATTACCAAAAACGAATCAAAAGGACATCCAACAATGTAAAATACAAATCCTCAATTACGAAACACGAAAACATAAAGATCAAAGGGACATTTGTCAAGACAATCATGCTACCCTTTGATTATGATAAAGAACATATAAAAAGTACATTCATCAAAATAAACATGCTATCCTTAGGTTAAAAAATCCTAGGAAACTACACATCTATTTCTCATGACAAACTTGCAAACCTTCAATTATGAAACCCTAAGAAAAATATACTTATGTACATAAACTGACTAAACAAATTATAAATTGAAGAATCAAACGGTACGCTTCAGTTCTTCTACTAAGGGAATTACAAGCAAAGATTTGTAGAAAGATGGAATTCTATAGGATTACATACCAAAGGATTATGATGAATCAAACCCTAAAATAGACTTAATTTCAAATATTATTTTTGTCGTTGTTTGAGACCATCCTTGTAAAACACAAGTTATGCCCAAAATCAATGCAAAGCTTTTATTATCCATGGTGTAGAACATATGCTAATGTGTAGATTTTTATTTTTTTTACCAGGTAGCATGTAAAAGCTTCAGAATATAAAACGTTTACCAAGAGTTATAAGCAAGCATAAAGCATGATATTTCATCAACAACTGAAAATAGATAACTTTTAAACACTAGGTAGAACTTTGTTATCAATAACTTTACGGTGCAGATTAGACATTTGAATATTTTATACTTCTAAGGAGTGATAGGAAAAGTAGATAACTCCTTTATGGTTCCAAATAATAAAAAAAAAAAACTCAAAATCAATAGGATTTAAGCTTCTTGTATATGAATTTTCAAAGTTTAGATTCTTGCTTTCATCTAGAATATAATAAGGTCGGGCTAACATTATTTGACCTCTTTAAGACCAAAATTAGGTAATAATTGTCTCACATTCATATATAGTAGACATGCAAGCGATTTTTTAGTAGTTAATTGGGTGATAAATGATTACCCTAAAAGGGCAGTTTCAAGTATCTAGGTTCAATGATTCAAAGAGAGAGAGAGGGAGAGGGAGAGGGAGAAAAACATTGCATAGTAGCAGGGTGGCTCAAGTATAGAGTTCCAATAGGGATGTTGTGTAATAAGGTTCAAGTGAAACTGAAGAGAAAATTCTATAAAGTAGTCATTTGACCAACTATGTTGTATATGTTGGAGTATTAGGACACGAGAAAGGCAGTGGACACTCGAGGGGAAGTTGCAGAAATGAAGATGCTTAGGTGGACATATGGTCAAAACAGGTTAGACAAGACTCTGAATGAGGTTTTTAGGGGGGAGTTGAGAGTTTCCCCAATAACACGTAAACTGAGAATTGGTTTGAACACGTTGACTGATGATGACACGTTCATAGGAGATTGATGATGGCACTGGCTAGGGAGAGTACAGAAAGTGACAATTAAGGCGGTGAGGAGGGGTCGGCCAAGGAGAATGTGGGATAAGCACTTAAGGTTGTACATGCCGACCTTAGACATTTTTGAGGATATTTTTGAGGAGATGGCTTAGAGTACTTGGAGATAGAGACCCGAGTAGTAGACTAGGTATAAGAACTGTAGGTAGCATAGTTAGACAAAAGGAGTGGACGAGTTGGAAGGGGAGAGGCTAACAGTCTAATGTGTTTGTGGTCGTACCTTTTCATAAGTTTTCAATGTATTATTTCACTCATATTGCATCTTCGTACGGTAGTATTTGTGCCCTCTATTTGTTTGCTCACGCTCTTGCACAAGCAGAAGGTTATCATGAACATGGCCTCTATACTCTTCAAGGGTAGAGGTCATGTATGCATACGTGTCACCTCCTCGTACCCAACTCTTGAGTGGAAGTTACTTGGATCGATCAGTTTGCTTTATCCATAAGTTTTTAGAAAATTATCATATATCTTACTTCCACAACCTATTCCCATTCCCCGTGACAAATTCTCATTCATATTTTTCCTGTGTCATAACACTACACTAACAAGAATTTAAAAATTCATCATTCAAAAATCCATATCACTATATTTTAATGAAAGATCAACTTATTATGATTTTGGCAATTTTATGAAAACATGACATTAGGTTACTTTAATTTTTGGTTAGTGTTATCTTTCCGAAGTGTATTATAATTTTCTTCACATTTTTCCCATGTCATA